TCAAATGACATTTTTAACTCCAAAACTCTTATTTTTTTCGCAAATTTGGGCCCAAAACCGTGAGGCCCAATTATTAAGCCCATTAGGCTAAAAATTACACTTTTGGTCCTTTGAAAAGTAGGGTTATCATAAAAACCCATTTTTATATAAGTATGACCTGTTTGATCCTTATAAAACCGTAAATGTCACTTTTTGCCCTTATCTTTTGTTTTCTTGATAAATATGGCCCTTAACAAGATTTTTGCTTTAAATTTTCATATCTTAAACATGTAAACACTTTGAACTTGATAATATGATGTATAAGGTGTCTTAGTTCATGGATTTTTACTCAATGTTGCTTAAGATGTCGAGATGTGTTAAGATCTAACATATTTTTACAAAATAAACTAAGAAATCACACATGACATGCATAAAACACATAGATATACACATTTTACTTGTATTCTCCCCCAAAAATCATGTAAAAACCGAAAACAAGTGGGTATGAACTCACCTTTGCTTTGATGTTTCGGTTTTGAAGAAGAAATGAAGAGATTTTTGGTCCTAGCAACACCTTGAAGTAGATCTCGAGCTTATGGGGGTTTTCTAAGATTATGATCACCAAAAATGTTTAGGAGAAGTGTTCTTAACATAAGAATGAAGTTATATAACTTGGGTATGTAGGAACTTACCAAGGAAAGATGATTTTTGGTGGAAATCTCCTCGAACAACCCTAGATCTTTGAAAATTTGGAGAAGAGAGGAGGTTTTCTAGAGAGAGTGTTCTTGAAAGATTTAGGAAAGAGAATGAGGTGGTGAGAGTGAGGTTCGGCAGAGAAGAAGAAGAAGAGAAGAGAGAGGGAGTGAGGTGATGTGCATGGAGATCCACCATGCAATAAAGAGGTGGCAAGCTCTCATAATTCATCTAATTTCCCTTATTTTTCTTTTTTCTTTCCTCATTGGGCCAGAATTGGGCTTATGATGAAATTGATTAGTTTGGCCCACTTGGTTTTGGTCGATTTTGTGAAGCCCAATAAATATGTTTTGGCCCATTGGGCCCTTAAGTGTATTACGGTCCAATTGACATAAAAGAATGGATTTATGGCCTATTATGGTTAATTGGATTAGTTATGGCCCAATAAGGCCCATTAGGGTTAGAATGAATCATTCTAAGTCCAAATGGTCCAAAATGTTATAGGTTTATGAATTGGGTCCATTTAGAATCCAAATAGGGTTTCCAAGCCCAATATAGTTGAATTGAATGCTTATTGGTCCATTAGGCCCAATAAGGAAATTCTAGTCCATAAAGAACTTGAACTTGGATCTCTAGGGTTTTCAACCCTTAATTGAACATAAAAGATGTATTTAAATGGGCATTGATTGATATTCACTTAGAGTACATGCTTTACAATGGTTGAATGATTTCATAAGGATACAATTTTCCTAGCTAAAATGCTAGTTGTGACATTAGACACCTAATCCAACAAAATTTTTCTCCATACACAAATTAATTATTATGGTAATGAGGGTTGAGATACGCTGGAATGAAAGGCAATCCAACAAATTCAGTTGTTAACAGAGGGAAAATTAAGAATAAATAAGCAAGAAATTGAAAGAAAAAAAGAAAGATTGGCGGTTGTTTGAGATTTATATATGTCACCGATGAAATCATGTATGGGCCGACCATTAGAGAATCTTCCAGTTTGCTGCTTGAAGTATGATTCGCCATAAGGCCAAAAATTCTCTTGAATTTTCGTAGTAGTGTTTATGTAGTTGTTGTTTCCGGGATCGAAAAGCGAATCACCGAAAATGAAGAACACAACATGTTTGTTGAAATGCCCCTGAGAACTCTCGCAACTTGTAAGGATCAACATACAAGAAACAACAAAATACCCAAATGGCTTTTTGCAAGAGCCATATATGTCTAAAGTTGATCTTATAGCTTCACACTGAGTATTTACATTGCCTTCCATTTAAAGCATATATTTAAGACAAAACTACAAAAATGGTCCATGTGGTATGTATTTTTTCTAAAGTTTATTCCAAACCTCGACTTTTTTGGTTTCATGGTCCTTTTAGCCATTTTTCTATGTGGAAATGGTCCTTATGAATATTGAAATGACTATAATACCCTTGGGGTATTTATTTTTCATTTTTCTTTCATTTTTTTAAATATATTATTTATTTACTTATTTAATATTTAAAAAATAATAGGTTCCTCTATCTCCCACCCCCCCTCTCTCTGGATTTGTATTTGATAAACATCCAAGAACATCTTCATGAAGTCAAGAACATCTTCAGCCACTACCATCGCTTGACCATCGTCTGCCACCACCACAATCCGCCACCATCACCGTCTTCCACCTCCATCCCCACCTAAATTGTTCTACCACTTCGTATCTGCCTAAAATCATCCCAAAAACAAAACTCATACACAAATCTGGGTTTGTTCTTAAGTTTGCCCCTGAACATCATTCCAGCCTCTTTGTCTCTATTGTCATCTGATACATCTCCCTCTCCGTCTCCAGATCTAAAGTCTCCCCATCTCCGTCTCAAGATCTAAAGCCTCTCCCTCTCCGTTTACGGATCTGAAAACCTTTCTTGTTTATGTTCATCTCAGATCTATTAAAGCCCTAGGTGGTCGCATGAATGTTCACACAATCCTGCATATCTGACATTCTAACATATAAGAAACACACAAATGCTAGCCGAAAAAGCATATAAGTAATCCATCGATTTTGAAATGAAATTAGAACTAGAATCTAAAGTCGTTTTTCTCAAAGAAGAGGGAAATCAAAAGAACATGTTGAATCAGCCGAGACTATAAAAATTGAAAGTCGAAAATGAATCATTTGTTCTTAAAATCGTTTTTGAAGCAAAAAAAAAAAACATAAATCGATTCTAGAATCGATTTGTGTACGTGTGTCCATCCCCAAAAATTGATTTGTTTGTGTTGTGTGTTTTTATGTGTGCATCTGATGATTTTAGTCTTAAGTTCTTAAGTTCCAGAAA